GCAGTGGCGAATGGTGCAAAGCCTTGGGACCTTGCACCTGTGTGGGAGTAACTCGGAAGAGGTTCCTGGCTTCGGATTGTTTCAACTCTGGCTGTTCACCTGGGGAGTGAATCATCAGATACAACATCTTTCTGTCTGTCCTCTCTGCAGATCCGTCTTTCCAATAAAAATAAATCAATCTTTTAAAAAAAAAAAGTTACCTCTTCCACCTGCTGATTAGCTCCTGAAATGCCCAAAACAGCTAGGATGGGGCCAGTTGCAAGCCAGGAGCCAAACATTCAATCCAGATCTCCTGTTGTGCAATGGTGCGGGGTTGGGGGTGGGAAGGATGACCCAAGCTACCTTAGTGCCTCCCAGGGCACACATTAGAAGCAAGCTGTTTCGGAAGCAGAGGAACTAGAACTCAGAATAGGCAAACTGCAAGGAGAGGCAGGCATCGCCAAGCGGCATCTGGTTCTGGGTATGGGGCAGCTCATCTTTAGCATCACTCCAGATGTCTCCAGTGATACCAGCATGAGCTCGGAGTGGCATGCACTAGGTCCTTCCTGAGACCTAAGAGGCGCCTGGGAGTTAGCTGCTCCAAGAAAGCATTTTTCTCTCTCACTGAAGGAAGGAACATTGCTTGCAAAGAAGAACAAGAATTCTTAGCAACTTGGAAAGGAATCTTAATGTTTCCAGCACAGTCCCCTGGGAGCCTGCCTTCTCCTCCCAGTTGCCCTCCATCACACCAACTCAAGATGCCTCACTGAGGTGCCTTGAACATTTCAGGACTATAACTGCCGAGGAGAGAGGGTTGTGAAACCAACACACATGGCTGAATTAAAACATATTAAGGAGGACAAATGGCATTTCCCATTGTGATCATTTCAGTAGAGAGAGAACATTTAAATTACCCAATCTTCTAACACAAGAAAAAAACTGGAAGGAGAATCTCGTCCCAATCCCCAAACTCCTACCCCTGCACCCCAAGAACTGTTAGTGATTACTTGGACTTACCCACTGGTTTTATTTTCTGGTTTCCTGGCAGACTGGGGAAAGTCTCATCCTAGCAAGGACTTGGAACCTGAGAAGGTGTATCATGGGTGGGGCGAGGTGACCCCAGAAGTCTTGGGAAAAAGGTTCGTCTCCTCTCATTTAGTTCACCAGGCTTCTATGGAGGTATTCCTGAGGCTCAAAGTTCTAGGCTTAGTGAGAGTTTCAGATTTCCCAGCTGGGAGGAGCACCTGTACACGTTTAAAGTCAGGAGGAAGTGGAGTTGATAACGTTCCAAACTTTGGCTTTGGCACGCACCAGCCAGTGGCTTTCACTTCTTTACTGAGCAAAAGGAGAGCCCTTCTGGGGCCAACTCCCAGGTCACTTTAAATGTCCTTTGCAGTGGCAGGAGTACGCCTGTCCCCCGGCACCTCATTCATTAAGACAGAGCAGGCAGATCAGTATTTCTGGTGAACCTGTTGGTGGTGGCTTCAGGATAAGTCTGCATACCTTGCTCCATGGGATCTCCCAGCTCCAGCCTTCCCAGCCTCACCGCTCCTCTCTCTGGGGACTCCAGCTGTCTGCCTTCTGTTTCCCCCAGAGCCCACAATGCTCTCGCCTTGTTTTCTCCTGGGCAGCCCTCATTTTCTCAGGGATGTCCCTCCTCCACCAGCTGCACCAACCCTCTCCCTGCTTTAACACTCGCACTACACCTTGCTTCTGGTATTGCGCCTTTTATAGCAATTGTCCCACGGTAGTTAATGACTTGCCTAGTGTCTGGTTTCTCACTTAGAATGAGAACTCCAAAAGATTAGGAATGAAGCCTCTTTAAAAAAAAAAAAAATTAACGCCTCTCCCTCCCGTCCCCCCACCCCCCGCCCTTGCACAATAGCCTAGCGACTGAAGTCCTCATGTTGAACCCACTGGGATCCCATATGGGTGCTAATCCCGGCAGCCCCACTTCCCATCCAGCTCCCTGCCTGTGGCCAGGGAAAGCAGTATACATAAGTATGCTAGGTTGTCTTTCAGGCACTTGCCATATAACGGAAGGAAGGTACAACAAAAAGAGATCCTTGCATTATGGAGCTCACGGGCTACGGGGCCTGGTGACTAAACTGTGAGAAGCACTCAGGTGAGTCGGCAAGGACAGGAGGCATGGGACACTGTGTATGCAATAAGCTTAGACTGGGTGACCAGGGAAAGCTGCCATCGAGAAGGGCCTTCTGAGAGAAGGCCTGCAATGAGACCACCAGGTGAAAAGCCTTCTAGGCAGAAGGGAGAGCGAGGACAAAGGTGCTGAGGCCCGAAGATGCCCCCACTGTTCCTGGGGACAAAAAGCAGCAAGTGTGAGGGCATGGGAAGCACTGTGGGGTACACAGATCATCTGGCCTGTGTAAGTGTGGAACCTCGAACGGCAGGCACTTTGGCGGGAGGGCCAGCAGCCAGCCTCTGGGCAAAAAACCATGAGTTTCAAATAGTATTTCCTTCCTTTAGATGAAACACGAAGCGTTAAGTTCAAGCCAGGAAACGGAGGGGTAGCAAAGGGCTGCCAGCTGTCACTTGTTCCCTCATCCCACATGGGTCTAGGACTGACACCTCCTGGGGACCATCTGGTGCCCCACTCCGCTGGGGCTGAAACTACCACTGCAGGCTCTCCGGATCCCTGTCATTCCCTTCCAGGGCTGGCTGTTCCACAAGCAGTCCCAGTGGATTCCTGCGAGTACCGGGACTTGGAGGAGATGTTGACCTCTACATGAGGCTATTGCATGAACCAAATAAGAGCTGCCAGGGCTACACACACTCACAGATTCACACACACACGGATGACTTGCCATGGTTATACACACACACACCTGATGAGTTGGCACGGCCACACACACACACACACACACACACACCTGGTGAGCCGTGGTTCTGAAAAGTTCCTAGAAATTACTTCTGTATTGCAGAACTTCTTTTTTTTTTTTTTCTTAATTTTTTAAAGCGACTTCTTTCTTTTTCTGGAACAGGTAACACCAAGAGACAAAAAGACCGTGCCCAGTCAGTCCATTTCCAAAGGATAAATGTGATGATGTGTTTGTAGTGGGATTGTGCACGCTTGACCGACTAAGAACTGACAGTGCGGTTGAGATGAGGATTTTAGACACCATGTCCAGCCAAAGGTGCCGCGCACACACCAGAGGGCACACCCTGCGACCCCTGGATAAGCCACACTAAACCGTCAAGACAGAAGCTGGAAGAGCGGGGTCGGATAGCTCATTGAACTACAGGGTGCATCCGAGGGTGTGTTTCACTGTGTATGTCAAGCCAGTCGCCCTGTCGCCACCTGTGGCTCCCTTCTCAGAGGTCACCCCTCCGGCTGGGGGTTCTTGATGCCCCTTTTTCTTACAGCACCTTCACAGCCCGGCGGGTGCAGCAGTCCCCAGACGCCAAGGCTGCCGGCACTGGACCAAGGCTCGTGGGCCTCTCTCTGCCCTCCTTCCCTCCCCAGGGAGGCGGTGCAGCCGCGTGGCCCTTGGAGGTTGCTGACCCTGGCTAAACAGTGTTGCTCCTCCCGCGGGGCCCTCCAGGGTGTGCCGGCCTGGAGAGGACTCGATGTACTGATGAAGCTTATCGCGGAGGGACGCATTCCCCGCCCCCCTCCTCCTCCCGCTTGGGATCTGTGGAGAGATCCCAGGGCTTTCTGCCCCCTGAGGGGGGGCTCTCAGATCCCGCGGCGTGTGCGGTCTCTTGCAAGGGGGCAGTCCCCGAGGACAACTTTGTTTCTTATCTTTCCCCCACACCCTCTTTGCATCCCCCACCGTCTGGCACCGAGCTATAGGCTGGTCCCATCCCCCATATGAGGCTCCACCGTGCCTGGGCCACTTTTCCTATCAAGTGTGGTGGTGGTGGTGGGGAATCTTCGCCCCCTGCTCTGCCAGGCCTCCCCCAGGGCCAAGAGGGAGCAGAGAGGCCACGTCCATGTGGCAAGCGTTGCTGGAAGAAAGCGCGGGAGGTGAAGGGTGCTACCTGTTCCTCTTTTAAAATCTTCCAGTGCCCGGGCACTGCTCAGGCCTCGACAGGCCAGCTCCTAAGCCCCGTCCCTCCCATCGGTCTTCCCCAAGTGCCAGGTACTCCTTCGGCATGCTTTCCCTGCCCCCAGTCTCTAAATGTCCACGCCACCGTGGGCGGAGGGTTTATCAGCCTCCTGCTGGAGACGGACAAGGTTAGAATGCTGGTATGTGGTCGTCGGGGATCTGAAAGAGCAACTTCCCCCGGGGGAGACGCCCTAGTTAGGCTCCAAGGGGGGTTCGAGGAGGAGTTCAGGAGGTCCGCGGTCTGGAACCGGGGGGCCGTCGAGTTCCACCAACACCCGGGGGTCTGCAAAGCGCCCTCCCGCCGTGGGGACCCCGGAGAGGGCGCTGGGCCAGCAGCGTCTCCGCTGGGGGGGGGGGCGGGTGGCACTTCAGGAAAGACAGCTGCTCCTCAGAGCTCCGCGTGGCGGAGGAGCGGAAGAGCGCCGGGGGGCCGAGGGAAGCCCCGTGCGGTCTCTCGGGGGTGGGGTGGGGGTCGCTGCAAGGCGACCTACCTCCCGCTGCACCCCACACCGCCGGGGAGCGCAAAAAAAGGAAAAAAAGAAAAAAAAAAAACCTGACTGGAACTACTTTTCCCCCCCCTCCCCGGAGCGGCCGCGCGGCAGCCCCACACCGTTGGCGGAGTCCGGGCGCGGCCACGTGCACACACGCACAAACACACACACACCCCGGCGGGCTCGCACGGGGCCAGCGGCAGGCACGCGCGTGCGCGCGCGCACACACACACACACACACACACACACATATATACACACGCGCACACACACGCGCGCACTCCCGGGCACGCACACCGCCGGCCCCGCCCACGGCCGGAACGCCCCGCCCTCCCCCGCGCCCCGCCCCCGCCCTCGCCGCCCCGGTTGCCGCCCTGCCATTGGTTGCGGGCCGCGTGACGCGCGGCGCCCGGCCCCGCCCCTCGTCAGTCACTCGGCGGAGGCGGCGCTGGCGGGGACTAGTCTCGTCCGGAGACTGGCGGCGGCGCGGCGGCGGCGGCGGCAACAGCGGCGGCGGCCGGAGGAGCTTGAGCCCCAGCGGCTTGAGGCGGGCGGGCGGGCGCGGGGGAGCCGCGGGGGCCGTTCCGCGACGACTCCCCGGACGGCGTTTCTCCTCCGAGCGACGCGGCTTCTCGTCTGTGGGGGGGGCGGGGGTCCGGTCCATCCATGACCATGGGCGACAAGAAGAGCCCGACCAGGTACCTGCTGGCGGCCGGAGGGGCGGAAGAAGGGGCGGGCGGGCGGGCGGGGGGCCGGCGACGACTAGGCCCTCGGCGGAGCCACCGGGCGGGGAGGCGGGAGGGGGGGGAGGCGCTGCTAAGATGGAGATCCGGGGGCGGGGAGGCGGCGGCGGCGGCGAGCGGCGGGCGGCGGGAGGCGGTGTCGCTCCCGCCCGGGGCCGGCGGCCGTGCGCGCCGCAGCCATGGCGGCTCCTCCTCAGCCGCCGCCGCCGCCGCCGCCGCTGCTGCTGCCGCCGCCGCTGCCGCCGCCGCCGCCGCCGCTCCTCCCAGACAAAGGGAGATTTAACCAGGTGGGGAGGGAGGGAGGGCGCGGGCAGGGGAGGGGAGCGGGAAGCAGCCGGCCCACTCCCCGCCGCCGGCCTCGGGGGGCTCTGCCCCTGCGCGCCCCCCTCCAGATCCGGCCCGCGGGGCCTCCCCCCACGGCCCCAGCCCCACGCCCGCTCGCTCGGGTCCACAAGTCCGCCCCGCTTCCTGCGCCCGCCGCGGCCCTCCTCGCTCCCTCTCCCCCGGGCGCAGCCGCCGCCGCCGGCACCACCGGCCCCGCTGCCGCCGCCGCCGCCGCCTGGGCGAGCCGGCCGATCCGGCCCGGCCTGGCCCGCCGAGGGGTCGCCGCGGCCGGCGGGGGCGCCCGGTCCCCGCCCGGGTCCCCCGCCTGGGTGGGTGGTCGCCCGGGCCAAGTTTGCAGCGGCGGATTCCTGCGAAATGCCGGCGGCTCACAGCGCCTTCTGTGTTGTTTTCTCTCTTCTCCTCTCCCTCTTTGCTCCTGTTCTCTCGGTCCCTTCCCTCCCCCCCCCCCCCACTCCTCCCCTGCCCCGGTTCCCGACTCCTCCGAAGGCCCAAAAGGCAAGCGAAACCTGCCGCGGACGAAGGCTTTTGGGATTGTAGCGTCTGCACCTTCCGAAACAGCGCGGAAGCCTTCAAATGCAGCATCTGCGATGTGAGGAAAGGCACCTCCACCAGGTACCCAGGAGCCGGCTCAGCCTCGGCTCAGAGGCTTGTCCCGAGCCATTACTTTCTGCCCTCTTGCCAACTTGTTGCTCACGGTCTTGGTTGGCTGCATTTGGGGGTGGCTGCTGGTGTGTGTGGTGGTGGTGGGGGTGTGCACGGCCTCGTGTTCCCTGAATGATTTATGGAGGGGAGGCTTTCTCCCCCTAGCTTTTCGCCTGACTTGGTGTGCAGTCTGTTTGACACTTGTGTCGGTTGGCTGGTCGGTATTGGCTCGGAAAGCGAGGAAGCGGCGCTCGCCGTGGGTCGTAGCACTCGGACCTCTTTGCCGTGTGCAGGATGGTTTTAATTTGCTTGCTTTGAGTTATTTTTCTCCCCTGGAAATGTAGGGGTGGTAGTTACAGGGAGGCTGATTGTTGCCTTTTGGGTTTCTTGCATTTGAAAATAATTGTTGGGATTTGATAAGGAATGTGCATTCTGGGGGGAAGGAGGGTCACCGAGCTGTCCCGGTATTGTTGCTTTGGGGGCTTTTTGTTTGGGGTGAACTTGAGCGGAGTGGACGGGCGGGCGATTTGCAGAGTGGTGCCTGTCGGAGTTTGTGTCAAAGAATGTCGGGAGAATTCATTTCAGTGAAGGTGGTAGACTGCATGTGTTATCAGAACGAGTTCAGCAACTTGAGATTGAACATTCAGATAGGCTTGGAGAGAATGTCAAGACTGGCTGGTCATCTTTTTTAACTTGTATCTGGGTTTCGTTTTTGGTGGTGGTGGAGTCTGAAGTTGAAGTGCTGTGGCTCTCACTTAGTGGACTGACAGCCGGTGTGGGTGTGCTAGCGTGTGAGAAAGAGGGCTTGGACAGCCCGGGGTCTTCAGGAGTTGAGCCTGCTGGCCAGTCTCCTGCTGTCATCGGGTCTTGGAGTGGGTGGCATTCCAGTACAGCTGTGCCCGGTGGCTCCAGCTGAAGCTGGTTCTTTAGACTAAGTGAATGTGTCCTGTTAAGGTTTCATTACTTCATTTGTATCTGGTGTTTAAATAGGATCTTGGGCAACCTGCAGGAGTGCAACTCTGGGATTAATTGGCCTAATTACTGGTAGAAGAGTTCTGTGAATTCCACTAATTCTCAATAATGGGACCTCTGATTAAAAACACCCAAGAACTGCACATATTTCCCCCACAAGTAGCTTTTAAAGTGAACGCCTGTCAGATGTTTGGTGTCTGTGGTTTTCATAGGTTTTGTTTTGCTCTCTTCAAGATTGGGAATTCCATCGAGTGGCGTGAAAGTTTTAGAGATGTGTTTGTTATTTAAAGCAATAGTGATTGTGGAGTATCTATGAGTAATGTTTTTTTACATGTAGAATCCCTCAGAGGCCAAACCTCTTTATTGTGGTTTTGCTTTGAGTGTTACTGTAGATGGTGTTCAAGTAAATGACTAGGAAACTCGTAAGAACTTGAGAACCTGACTGGTGAAGAGAAACTCTAAATTCCAAGAGTTTGTATCTGATTTAATGCTGGGAATGATTATTTTGTGATGAAACGCGTTTCAGTTTCTGCATGTATTTAAAAAAAAAAACAAACCCTGACTCATCACCTTTCTGGAAACCTGGGGAAGGCTTTGGCTAAAAACAACATGTATGTTTTCAGTTCTTTGAGAGCCACAGATGATGACTGTAAATAAACATTTTAAAACCATTACATTTTTTATGAAAATACCTCTGGATGGTTCAAAAACAGGATGGCTAGCCAGACCTTACTGTCTTTAAGGGTTGCTGTCTTTTTGAACCAGATCTCTAGGTCTGAGGACTAGAGTGCACCTCCTAGAACACATCCATTGCGTGTCGGTCACTGCTAGTATTACTTTTTCTTGCGGGGGGGGTGGTGGGACTTCAAAGTCCTGATACGAACTTGACATTTTCTGTCTTGTTTAGTACTACTCATACTTGATATTGCTGTCAGTAGTAAACTTGATGTTAGACTTGGGATACTGAGCAATAGACAAGAGTTTGTGACTCTAGAATAATTTTTGGAGTGGCACGGAAATTGGGTTTTATTGCTTGGGCTGGTGGCTTGTATTTTTTAATATCCTTAGCTAGTTGGGTTAGCTGGTGGCCGTTTAGGAACTTGTGGCCATTTTGGTCATTTCTGTCGTCGCCATCTACCAGTCAACCAAGGAAACCTGCTTTGAATTAGTGGTATTCCAGTAGGATACCAAAATCTAACTGCCCGTTGAGGACAGAAGGGGTAGGACCTCAGTTCGATGAGGAAAATACTGCTATTCAAACAGCATTTCTGAGGATGTAAATAATACTGCTAAGGACATGTCACAAGGCTGATGGGACGCGTACCCAAATGGTCATGCTTGATGTTAGAAACATGTGGCCAGAGCTGCAAATAGGTGCTGTGGTTGTTGGGAGCGGTTTAGCGTGGCCTATTAGGAAGCCCTCGCCCTCCTTGGTTCTTCTGGTGTAGGACAACTTCCACAATCCACAAACTTCTCTTGCCTGCTTTTTTACAACTGTTGCCATGTGCGTCAGATACATAATGAATCGAAGAATTTATTTGTTTATAGAGAGAAAGCATGCTGGCACTGGCTCCCGTTTCCTAGTTCACTTCCCAGATGCCCACAGTGACTCGGGTGGGGCTGGCCTAAAGCCAGGAGCTGGAACCTCCATCTGGGTCTCACGTGGGTGGCAGGGACTCAAGTCCTGGAGCATCTTCTGCTGCCTCCTAGGGTGCACGTGATTACGTGATTCGGCACAGGCACTACAACTCCCAACCCGGTGGCTTAACCCTTGGGCCGAACATCTGCCCCATAGCAGGTGTGTTAATTCTGCAGGTGAAATTGTGATGGTTGTTGGTGGGTTTTTTTTTAATGACTTAAAGCAGAATATTCGTATGTAGAAAGGAATAAGGAATAAATAGGGCACTTGGAGGCTAGGTGGGCAGTAGAGATCTGTACTTTGAATCTTATCAGCTCGATTTTGAATCTCTGGCTCATTGATACACTTTTTCCAACTCTGACCCTTGTTGGAGGAGTTCTGGGCAGTTGGAAAAGTGGCTTCCCTGTCGTGCTGATGTATTACTGTACGCTTTCCCAGGTGGGAGCAGTAAATCGAGGTTGGAGTATGTGTGTAAGGTGGCAGGTGGGTGACCAAGAAACACTGCCTTTCTTCAGCGTGCTGACTGAAGCAGCAGTTCACATCCTGCGTTCTGAGCCCCGACAGAGGATTCCTTGGAGGAGGAGGAGGGGAAGCCACTGTGCTGATGCACCTGCCACCTGCTGCTCTGCTCAGGTGAAGTTACTAGAGTTGGGCAGAGTAGCTTCTGGACCCGGTGATGTACTAAATATAATATGCGTTGTGGTTTTGTGTTTACAGTGTTTTCTTTGGTGACGCTGGTGTGTGTTCTTGTTAATTAGTTTCTTTGATGGTAGCGCTGCTGTTACCTTCAGCTACTGCTCACATACGCTTTAAAAACTTTCATCGTTTGAACACTGTTCCGCTAGAAACTTAACTGTTTTTAGAACTTTTTCAGAGGAAATTACTTCAATGTATAACAACATTGTGTGGCAAGAACTAGCTGTGTGTGTGTGTGAGAGAGAGAGAGAGAGACTGACTGACTGACTGACTGACTGACGCATTTCAGAGTCTTGAGTTAGAGGGTGATGTCTCGTGTATCTCCCTGTGTTAGTTCATCCCCAGGTGGCTGTCATGTCCAGGGCTGATGGAATCAGCACCTGTTTGGGACCCCCGTTTGGGACACCAGCCGTGGCTGTACTTGCTGTGCTACAATGTCAGTCTGTACTTGGCTTTTAAAAAGTTGAATCTCAGAATATTTAATTGGAAGGGTTGAAGAAACAGCAGCTTTCAAAAACTCCCAGAAGGTTTTGCGTTTACATTTCAGTTTTTTTTTTTTTCTCCCTCCTCAAATCCAAAATCCCTTGAATACTTTTGAAGTGATTTGGGAGTTTTATGGAAAAACACGGCATGGTTATGATCTTTGCCGAAAGCTACCGAGACCCTCATCTTGGGATACTTTTCAGATGGCAAAGCTTGTGAAAAGAAGCCGAGGGAGCCGCCCTGGGGTTGAGCCAGGCCTGTTAGCCCGGGCTTCCTGGTGTTCCTCAACAGCATTGCTGCTCCCTGGGTCCCACTGGTTTTATTGTTGTTTCTCTTTCATAAACATTTTCTATAAAATGCATTGAAAAATTGCTTCTGTCTTCTGGCTTACCAAACCTTATCAAACCTGCCAACCTCAAAGCTAATATACAAAAACCGATGCTGTTTTAACGGTCACTCTTACACAGAAGGGGAGTAATAATTTGTTTCATATTTGCTATTGCATTGGACTTACTGATTTATTGGTACTGACTTGATCTTCTGTGTACTGGGTGACCTTAAAGTAAATTACCTGGGTAGTTGTGGTCATTTGACAAGTTTTTATTGAGCACACTGTCATCTGGGCTCTTGGTGTATAGGAGTGTGACGACGGGTCCCTGTTCATGCAGCTTAACATACAGTGGAGAGACAAGAGAAACCAAGCAAATAGAAAAGTAGTGCTTTCATCTGGTGCCAAGTGCTCTGAAGAAACGAGAGTAGGCTGAGGCATACAGAGTGATGGAGCTGGACGGAGTGACGGCTTGGTAGTACTGAGGTGTGTGTCTGCTTGCTTTGGGAACCAGAGGATATTTATTTCCGAAGGTCTCCCTGGGTCATATATAAAGCTCAGTTGGGTGGGGCACTTAAGAGTACAGCTTCTGAGCTTCTCACAGTTACACGTCATAGACTAATCCCAGGCAAGCTAAAGTACTAGCATATTTCGAGTCATCAGGGTTTATATGTACAGATGCATACATTCCCAACCCCCTACACTTTTCCTTCCCCCAACTGTGTAGGGAAAAAAGTGAAGTACTGTGTACTCCATGTGCTGAAGAAACTACAGAACTTAGGAGAGCTCCGTCAGGTGGCTGTAATTCACCAGAATAGTCACCAGAGCTGATGGAGTTTGTTAGTACTGTAA